GGAACGGGGGGAGCGGAGGAGGGGACCCGCCGCCAGGGGCCGGCTGCTAGCTCCGCGCCGACTTTTCGCCAATGGTCCAAAGCGACATGTCCAAGTCGCCTCCCACAGCGGCGGCGGCGGCGGTGGCGCAGGAGACCCAGATGGACCTGCTGGAGAACGCGGCTCCCGCGGGGGCGCTCGGAGCGGCCGCACAGGTAGCGACGGCGCCGCGCCTTCTCCTTTCTTTGTGAGCATTCCGGGCGCCGACCCCCCGGCTCTCCCGGCGCCTCCTCCGCCGGGATCCCTCGCCTCGCCGCTCCCCTCCCGCCCGGGCTCCTCCGCCGCCTCCTCTCCCCTCGCCCTTTGCCACCCACTTCTCCCTTCCCGGCGCCGGGGGACCCTGCCCCTTCCCGCCGGTCCCCGGCTCCGGTGCGGCTTCCATTTTTCTCTGCTTCCGAAAAGCGAGTGCGAAGGGGCGGGGGGAGAGACCTCCGGGTCTTCAGAGGCTGCCCCCGGGGCTGCTGGGTCAGCCCTCCTCGCCCCTTCCCGGGAGAGGCACATGGATAGACATGAACCAGGCGAGCGGACTGGACCTGCTCAAGATCGTGAGTCCGGGTGGGCGGGAGGGGCTCGGCTTGCCCCGACCATTCCGGGCGAGCTCGGAGCTGGGGTGGGGAGGCAGCGTGGGAGGAGGTAGGGGTGCGCAGGGGCGGGGGGCGCTCGGCCCCGGGCCCCGGCCCCGGGCGCTGCCCGGACCCCTCCCCCCCGCCCCCGCACCTGGGGCGTTCTGCCGCCTTGACGGCTCAGCTCCCCTCGCGCCGCTTGCCGCCGTCTGCCTGCACCCCTCTTTCTTTCTCTTGAGAGAGCTGGGGACGCGAAAGTTTTTATTTTTCCTCCCCCCCCCTCCCTGAAATGTTAGCCGTTCCAGGGAGCCCCGGGACCCCCTTCCTCTCCGATGAGTATTAGCGGTTTCTGGAAAAATTCCGGTTTGCTGCTCGTTGTGAAATAGGAGATGTCAGTTGTGGGCGTTGGGCAATGATAAGGTGGTGGCTTTTACGTAAGGCTTTGGCAGGTACAGTTTGGATTACAGACACCTCCAGGTCTCAGCGGTAAGGAGTCTCTCAACTTTTATCCTGCCAGGGAGATGACTTCAGACTCCGAGCTGTGGGCTGCGGGGCGAGCGATGTGAAGAGGTTAGGATTACATTTCAAGCATCGTTTTGGAGAAATGTCTCTTTGCCTAGCGATACGGGCTTGTTGATTTCAAGCCTGCATTTGCTAGATTGTAATTTGTGGTGGTTACATATTTCTGTACTTCAAAAAAAACAACTTATAAATATGTCGTTTCTATTTTTTATATTTATATATGCTCAAGAGAGAGCGTGTTCTTAGAGTGTTGTTTCCTGTAGCAGTGGGAGGGAGTAGGACACGGTAATAAAGGTTACAAATGTTTTGTTGCCATTGTTGTTTTGATAGGGGATAGAAATAGATGGCTCTGAGATTCTGTTGATAAGGTTAATAATGGCGGTGTCAGTGGCTTAATCATGGAGCTTTAGTGAACTTTCTTTTGCCACTGGGAAATAACCTTGCTAACTTAAAACACATAATTCATTTTGATTTGAGATGGAAGAAAAATGTGGAAACCAAATTGTGTAATCAGAAATCCATTTCTTTCATAGGGGTAGCACAGCTAGCTTTTAGTCGGCCTTGGGCTGTTTGGCTGCTGAACCAGAGAGGGGACCTATAGCTAACCACCTACATTCCCATCTAGCTTCTGCCGGGGGACCTGAATTCTTACCAACACATGTCACATTTGTTCTAAACTCCTGATTTGATCTAGACTCTTAACCACGTTAGATGATAGTGAGAAATGTACTCCGAGAACTCATTTATTTCTGGATGAAGGTCTTGAATTTTGATAGAAGAAAGGACTTTTAGGCCATTTTTTTTCTTTGATCTTCGTTTAGGGATTTTTTTTTTTTTAAGTTTCATTCTTATGATAAAAATAGAGTTCCTGAATTCCTGGAGATCAAAGTTACTGCTGACAGAAAACATGACTGCATTTAGATAAGAAATACTAAATTCACTTAGTGATTTATGTCGTTAAATGTAAGTCAACAAATTGTTGTTAGTTGCAGTTATGAAATGATTCATATGTGAGGAGACACCGTTTCTGCCTTCAAGGGTGACAAATGTGTGGCAATTGTATGGTACAGGACTCTAAGTGAGGTACTGAATCTTCTATGGTTTCCGAGGAGTAAAGATCACAAACGTTCTATATGGAGTAATCTGCAAGGACTTCATAGAAGAGGTGGCTTTTGAGAAGAGCTTCGAAGGGTGGGTGAGGTTTGACCCGAGATTGTTTGTCAGAGAGGTGGTGGGAGCCATATAGGAGGTAAAGTCTCAAAAATTGTAAGTCTTGTAACATATTGATCATGTGTAGCTTGAAGAGAGTATGGAAAGGTACAGATTGGGCAGAGTTCGGCCGCAGATTGACAAGGCAATTTGAGGCCACATCTTGGAGGCATCGGAACCTGCCGTGTGATGAATGATAGAACCATGGAAGGGATTCAACCAAGGAGTCGCATTCAGAAGATACACCTGGGAATGTTCTGGAAGGTATTTTAGAGTTTCAGGAGTCCAGAGGTGGAGCTGCCAGACAGGAGATTGGTATAACAGTTTGGACAAGAGGTATTAAAGCCTAAACTAAAGAGAGAGAGAGAGAGAGACGATAATGGATACGACAGGCCCGTGCGTGAGACACTTCAAAGACTCAATGCACAGGAATTGGCTAGTGAGTGGATAAATGTATGAGAGGGAGGAAGAAGGGAGGAAAGGATATTACAAGCAGGTTGGAGGTATAAATATTCAGCTGTGTCCACATCCGTCTCGTTGCTGTCTCTACCTTCCAAAAATGAAAGCAGTTTTCCTTGAATTGTGTGTCTATCACCTCGGGTATTTGAGGGAAACTTTGCCATGCTTATTTGATTTCCAATAAATCATGGCATCGGAGGATCAGAGGGCTGTGAAAACTTGGCATCTATTCCCTGGGCAGGACAGGACAGCAGTAAAACCGCCTAAAAGGGGGGGGGGGGGGGGCGGGCTGTCTCAGGAGCGTCCCCCTTTTTTTGTGATACTGAGTAATAGTAAATCCCCTTAGAAATGGGATTTTCACTTGCAAATGGTGTGTCTAGGCAATCACGGGTTTTAAGAATCCTTTCTTTTTTTTTTTTTTTTTTTTTTTTTTTTACCTCTGGATTTTATTACAAGTTCTGTATGAACAGAAGATTTAGATTCACAGGCTTCCCATTCTCCTTTTTTATGCTAATAATCCCGTCGAGGGAGGGATGGGGATGGGGCACCCCTCCTACACCCCAACCCTTTCGGTCCACCACATAAACAACACGAATAAGTTTCTTACATGAGAAGAGGGTTGGCAGTCTAACTGCGGGTTGTAAGTTCTGATGGAAGCGAACGGCATCGCTTTTTGGGTAACCTGCCGAACAGCGTCACTGCAAACTTGGACCACCTCCAAAGCCGGGCGCCGGTCTAGTATTCTGCCTCCAAAGCTTCAAATCTGCACTGTCTGCGACTATAGCCCCCAGCCACGCGTAGCCTGAACCGAGATGTGCTCTACATGCCAAGTGCACACCAGATTCCAGAGACTTGATACCAAATAAAGAATATGCGTCTCATTAATCATTTTTATATTGATAACATGTTGCAGTGGTAACCGTTCGGATATATTGCTGTAAATGAGATACAGCATTGCCATTGATTTCCCTTGTTGTTTGCCTTTCTCGTGTGGCTACTAGAACGTTCCAACGACACGGGCTTGCATTATATTTCTGTCGGGCAGCATCAGTCTAAAATGTGGCACTGGTAAATCTCAGGGGAGTGGACTCGATGGTGTGTGATGGCCGGGTGGATGGGAGGCAGGTGAAAGGGACTGAGAATAGGATAGAGACGGAGGAGACGGGCAGGAAACAGGACAGGTATGTCAGCGCTTTCTGCCCGAAAGAGATTGTAACCGGCACCTCCAGCCACACCTGAAAACGAACAGACAGTAACCAGAGGTCCTGTTTGTTTTGCTCCTAGCAACAAGACCCAGCTGGTTCCACCCCAGCGGAGTTTGCCAGATGCTTTTCAAGCATGTTGTAGTAATACCAGCTGATAGTGGCAACATCCTGAATCACCGTAGCAAGGAGCTTTATCTGAAAAGGGCAGCGGCCTTTCTCCTGGGGCTCTCGAACCACGTCCGTGTGGTTTTCCAGAAACACTTCTAGGTCCGAGGTAGAGCTTAGTCTTTTCACAGTCTCCAGAAAGAATGACCGCGGGTCTCGTGCGTCACGTTTTGCTAAAACCTTCCCTCCGGGCCCTCCCACCCCTTTCCTCCTGATTGGTATTTTCGTTCTGGTACCTGTTGCTGGATTTGATTCCGTTGAATTGCAGTGACGTAGCTTTAGTCCTTTCAGGAAGAGCTGAGCAAAATGTGTTAACCCCGTAACGGGTGGTGGCACCCTTCCCTGTGTGGCCGCAGAAGTTGTCGCTGTCCTACAAATGACACACTCAGCATACGCTTACTGTCACAGCTACGCGGAGTTAGAATTGATTATGACACCACCACCAGTAGCCGAGGCTGCCTTAGAGTTCTTTCCAGGCCTGGCTGGAGGCTGCTTATAAAGAGGGCAAGGTTGATCTTCTCCTGCCCTCCCTGCCCCTGAACTTCCCCACTAGACATTTCTCTGCCGTCTGGCCTTGTCCCTCCTTCCTTGTCTACCTCCTGATCCCCAACGCAGTTCTCTTTAGGCTGCCTCTGGAGTCCTTTGTGTAAACTGATCCATACAGAAAAGAACTTTCGGTCTCCTTCCCTTTTCCTAGGGAGGTAATCTCCATTACTTTACTCCTCGTAAAGGATCTGACAGTCTTGTTCGTACTAAGCTATCAGTAAATGAGGAGATTTAATGTCTGATTTCTGTCTGGATCATTTTCGCTTAGTTTGTCTGCGGTTCAGAGGGATAAATCTCAATGAATGCTAATCGAGAGAGATGGAAACTAATTTCAGGTATCAGCCTTATGCTCACGAGGAGCAGTCTATAGGGAGAACGGTCACCCTATCTATCAACCACAGAAGCGGCATCATTCTTGAAGCTGTCCCCAGGGCCTGCCAAGCCAACTGTGTGTGCACGGGTGGGCTCAAATCTCCAGTTAACTGGCAACTTCTAAAATTAACTACTATTGTCTATTTCAACCATACAGAAATTAGGTTTCAGTGATCTGTGAAATATGAACATTGAAAACTCCAGTCCAATTTTCAAAGTCATTTAGTATCAGAGAAGACATTCATTTACACAGAGCTGATATTTGACATCATCGTGACTGTTGGACATCATTTTAATAAGTCGTTTATATACTTGTGGAAATTTCTAGAATTTTTTTTCTAATTTCTGAAATCTGACTTAGCTTGGTTGATGTTTTAGGAGAAGTAAAGGAGTTTAAGTTTACAGTTTTCTTTTTCTCCTTTTTGCTGTGGTGACAACAATTTGTTTTTAGTAAGCTTCACATAACTAACAGGCAGTGAGTGGAAATGAGTGACTTTTTCAGGCTGTGTTCCCAGAAGGATTTAGGGGTCTGCACGTGTCAGGGAGAGTATTATGGGTTACACTTTGTACTCTGGCCAAACACAGACTCCCTTTGTCCTCTCCCTTTGGTGTCCTGACACTTGGGTGACTCTGATTATGAATCGTTTTATATATTGGGTGTTCATATATTTAGTGTTGCTAAAAAAAAAATTTAGAAAAGCCATTTGTCCTAAAGAAGCTACATTTGCAGTAGCCCCTGAACTAAGAAAACTATATACTTCTTTACCAGGTGGAGGCAAGTAAATATTTGATTAATCTTTCTTGCCTTCCTCTGTTTTGGGAAGATTTGGCCTTTACTTTCTTCTTCTTCTTCTTCTTCTTCTTCTTCTTCTTCTTCTTCCTCCTCCTCCTCCTCTTCTTCTTCTTCTTCTTCTTCTTCTTCTTCTTCTTCTTCTTCTTCTTCCTCCTGCTCCCCCTCCTCCTCCTCCTCCTCCTCCCTCCTCCCCTTCTTCTTCTTCTTCTTCTTTTTCTTCTTCTTCTTCTTCTTCCTCCTCTTCTTCTTCTTCTTCTTCTTCTTCTTCTTCTTCTTGTTCTTCTTCTTCTTAATAATTCCTGCAGATGAAATGCTCTAGTCTCCATTTTCAAGGATTTAGAGTAACTAAAGAGCAAGTAATTTCAGCAAGATGGACTTAATTTTAAATATTCATTGGATCAAAGGAAACTTTGCTTTGTACTGGTAGTATAAATTTTCACTAACATTTTTTAAAGTACATCGAAATGGACTATATTAGCTTTCCAAAAGATGCTTTAATTTGTTTTCCTCTTGATCTTGGGTATTGTTACAAGAAACGTTAAAAATTAAAAAGGAGACTATAGGAGAGAAATGATTGCTATAATTAGTAAAAGGACAGAATAGAGGTGTAATTATGCATATCTGCTTATTTTAGCTTTTAATAAATTTGATACATAATGAATAAGGATTTGCTATAACACTATTAAGAAATGAGCAAGTTAATACTTTGAATAAAGCATTCCCCTTAAATTTAAGTGAAGAGGAAAGTATATATATTTTAAAACTTTATCACCAGTTTGCATGGACTTCGATGGGCCACAGTTTTTTGTTGTTGTTGTTTAGTTGGTTTTGTTTTTGTTTTTGTTTTAGTGTGCAAACTCTGCCTTAGTACAGTTGAAAACTGATAATCTAACATATATGCTTAAATATATATAGCATAGGTAGCCAAGTGCACCTGAAGTTATGTTTATGAACAGTGTTCGTAGGGGCCCAGAAAAATTAACATGCATATACAATTAAACACTTTTTAAAGGTATCTGATTTCTTGCAGAGAACGGTCTCCTCCTCTGGGACAGAATGTCTGAAATATTGTGTGGTTTTCACAGTGCCTGTTGTGCATTTATGAGCAACCACGAAAAAGCTTACACACCAAAGCAGCTGAATAGTAAAACATATTTATCCTGAAAAAAATCTGAAGCAAATGACCATGATAGAATTTCAGACTCACTTTCCACCCATTTCAAAATGGTACTGGAAGGACACATCATGATGGAGTAAGGTTATATTTTGACTTTGTTCTCAAAGATGATTGTATGCTCCTCATGAAGATAAATAGTGTGTTTAAAAAAAAAAAAAGAAAATTTAACATAGATTTGCTCCCCAACCCCCAAAGAAGCATGTTAGGCCTTTAATAAAAATCTTTCAAAGGTAATAAGTCTTTTTCTGTATGGAAATATATATATTTTTCTGTATGGAAATATATACACACACACACACACACGCACACACACACACACACACACACATATACATACATACACATTATTTAAAGAACTTCTCATGTTTTATTTTAGTGTTCTTAGGCTTTGGAAGAAAGACACTTCTGTCCAAACCTTTGTATAATAATTGGAAAAGGAAGAACGCTCTTGAAAGAATGTTATTTTTCAACAGTTTACTGAATAATGTTTACATAAGTAAGAAGAATAAGCTGCTGAGTGAGGAGAACGTTGTATAATACATTGTGAAAGCCCAGCCTAGGTTGTCTTTCCTTTTATGAAGCTGAGAGTTAATTAAATGCCATGGAAACACATTTGTATTATACAAATCCCGTAGATGCTTGAAAGAGAACAAACATCTTTAAGAAAAATTCTTGCTTTAAGATTATACCACCGTCTCACTGATTGCAAAGTCCTGTAACTTACTCATAACACAAATGTTTGTAGTAGATTTCAGTTCGCCTAAGTGCTACATATACCATGGTTTATGGGATATTTCTCTTTATAATTAAAAACATATGTGTGTGTCCAGTATCACAAAGTAGTATTTTCAAGACCTGAACACACTGATTTTTTTTAAAAGTAACTTTTGTAAATTCTGAAGAACTAATGAAGCCTCTTTGAGTCTCATCATTCTAAATGTTATATACCTTACCCCACCTTTTCCCCACTCTTCCAGTCTGTGTGTGATATTACTTTTTACACTACGTATATTACTTCTTAAAATAAGTGTGTCAGTTTTAAACTATTATTCTGACCCCGTGCCATATGCTAGGTCTCATACTAAATGCTCTAAACCTGTTATTTCATTTAATACTTAACCCGGTGAGGTGAGTGTTAATATCCCCTTTTAAAGGAAGAGAAGCCTGTTGTTTGGAGAAGTTAAGACATTGGCTCACTTTCTGCTCTAGCAGGGTTCCAACCTGTGTGCATTGGACTGTAAAGCTCAGCCTTGAGCTACTTTTCGATTGTATGTTAATGTTCAATATTTGCAACGACGTTATCTTTGCCTGGAATTAAACAGAGATTGATGCATAGTTTATTCTCCGTGCTCTGAATGCAAACGGTAGACATAATAGGAAAAGCAAGTTCATTTGCATACGTTCAGGCTTGGCTCGATCCTGTCAATTGAAGCAAATTGTCTCACTTTTTAACGTCCTGTTCTGAAATGCTTGTTTTATTATCGTTAGGATTCTATAAAACTTATTTTTCCTGCGTGCTCAGCAAAATCGCTAAGTGGATAAAAAGCCAGATTTTCATATCCCATTCAAACATGACAATAACGGGCCAGGCATTTTTATGAACTACTTTTAATTTCATCGAATCCACCACCTCGTCTGTAGCCGTTTCACCACTTCCAAAAGCAGTCTCTACATCCCTTGATCCCAGGAGGAGCTGGCACCGTGTTTCCTCCGTGTTCCCTCTGGACCTGTATAGAAACTTCTATATATGCGTATATATGTATACAAATAAGTTTCAGGGGCAGCAGAATTCATACTGCATGGTGTTCTTCAGCCACCGTATGCAGTTCTTACAAGTACCTATGGAGTTACAGATTAAAACATGAAAAACAGCCAAAATGGAAGCCCGCACCACTGGGCTGCTGGAAACAGCATTTCATTGTGCACAATCTGTCGACGCATCACCTTTTCTCTCACCTTGCTGTTGTAGCTTCTTCGGTCTCTCCTGCACTGAAATCCTTGCTTTTAAACGTTTTTATCTTCAATGGCTTTGCCTCCAGATGACAGATATGCTAACAGATCACATAAGTTGTTTTAATTCGCACATTATTGAACCCTTTGTCTGGAAACCTCTTTTCCCTATAAACTCACCATTTTGAAATCGATACTTGTGATTCCAGTGTCATTTTCTAATGACGCCCACATGATGGCAATTTATATTTTGTTTTGGTTTTTGACCCCTTTCTAGAAGTAGGCCTAGATTTTGGTGAAGAAGGTCTAACAATATTCTCATTTATCTTTTTTTTTTTTTCCCTTTCTCTTGTAGTCATATGGAAGAGGAGCTAGAAGGAAAAACAGATTTAAAGGATCCGATGGGAGCACTTCCTCGGACACTACCTCAAATAGTTTTGTTCGTCAGGTAAGAGAGCTCTTAAATTTCTGGTTCACAGAGGTAGATTCAAATGAATTTAATTTTTTGAAGGTGATTTTTATACCATTACCCTTAAGATGTATGTGGTATGATGGTACTTACTTTCAGTTAAAGTGAAAAGCGTGCAGTTTCATGTGATACTTAAAATATTTAAATTTTAAGTGAGATCACGTAGTAATTCCACCCTTTCCTGGCAAGTTGGGGGAAAGACAAGTGTAAAATTCACTACGGAGGGTTTCTTCGTAACAGAATGAGTGAACTCCAGCAGAAATGATTATGGCTTTGGGTGTTTTTTTTCGGCCGGGGGAGGGAATCTCATGTTGTGGGCATCCGTGTTGCCAACTATGAACTTGAAATACTGGTGTTCCCCTAGCTTGAGTTTTCCTCTTCCCTGTTGGGAATTGGATTGTTAAAGAGGAAACTGTTCTTGGTCTTGGAACGACCGAGGCTACTAAGGTTAAATAAAGCATGTGATATCTTTGCGGCATAACTTGAACTGCCTTTGGAGACGTAGCTTTTATTTCAGGCGCTATGTGGGGTATTCCTGTCCAGCTGTTTGCAACTGTCCCCTAGACAGTGGGTGTCCACATCTTTAACATAGAAAACATTCACACGTGCTAACAGAAAGCATTTTAACTGCCAGAGCAAGAACACAGGCAGCCCTATCTCCGAGGACAGTAGGTTGTGTGTCTAGACTAAAGTCTTGCCAGGTGTAGATGAGTGTGTATCTTCATGCGACTAACGCTTCTCGGTGGAAAAGAAATTGGGAAGGACAGTGCTAGACAGAACCTGATTCCGTGGCCGAAGGACTCCCAGTATCTGGCCCTTGTGCTCCGAGGAATATGTCGGCCACAGGTCTTTCCCCCCAGATAATGGCGGTCAACCGGAACACCTCCATTTCTCTTGCTGGCCACTTTTCCTGTTGCTTCTTGCGCCCCTGCTCCGACACGTCCCCCCACGGTTAGTAGCACTTGGGCTTCCATTTGTTCACCTGCCGCACCACTGGGGATTCTGTTCTTGGCTGGTTGCTGCCTCCTTACACTTTTGCGACACAGACAAAGGATGATCCCTCTTTGGCCCCCAGTTCCCTCTCTGCAATGTCAGCTATGCCAAAGGTATGTCTGAGTAACTCGCATGCAACGGGAAAAATCTTGGTTCTGGTCTGTGCCAATTAAGAATTGTTTCGGTTGCAGGAAGTTAGAACAAGAGTTGGTTAGGAAAGAATGGGGCTATTTTGCTAAGAAACATTTAGAAAGAAAAACAGATAGAGCTGTGTTTTAACGGTGTCAGAAAGAAGGAGCCGGGAAGGGCCCAAGAGGAGCCAAAGGTGTGTGCGTTGGCAGAATCCAGGCGCCATGGTCCTAAGAATAAATGAAGGGCCTGAGAAATAGTTGCTTAGCTTAGGTGAGTCAGTGCACAGAAAGTCACCCAAGGCCTTTTCCATTTCAAGCATCCATCTCGATTCTGCCTCTGGGACAAGGAGACTGAACCAGAGGAGTGAGAAGCCACAACTGTGAGTCATTATCTCGGGGCCGGACGTCCAAAGCAGAAAAAAAAATAAGCTTCTTAGAACACGTGGTAGTTGTGGCAAAGCCACACAAAGCGACAGGCAGGTTGTTGAGATGGCATGGGAAGAGAAACTGATGTTTGAAGTGAATGCCGTGTTGTGGGCAGAAATGAAGAGTAAACCGAGTCCTCTGTTGCTCATCTTAGCCCTGTTAAAAATGTCATTGTGAGACAATGGTTGGATTTCACTTTCCAGTTGCCCCTGGCCGTGGATTTCTCTTTCATGGTGCTTTGAGAACTTCATTCGTTAACTTCATTCATTAAGGGGTGGTTGCCACACTGCATATAAATTAACTGTGATTTGCTTTTCTTCATGATAACTTCCTTTCGCTTTTGCCTTCCTGGTGATGTGTGTGAGATTCTGTGCTTGAAACACAAAGATTATAAAGAGAGTTGTTAAACTACTTAATGTGAATTTAGATCTGTATTGCCAAAACTTATGTGGGCATTTAAGAAGACAAGACAAAATAAAGCAAAACAAAACAACAACAACAACCCCCCCTCCCAAAAAAAAAAAAAAAACCCTGTATCCTAAAGGGGCATCTCTTTGAAATAAAATAAAACCTATCTTCCTGAGTCCTAGAATGCGGTGTGTGCCATGGCATGGGTTTGGGGTGATGATTACGCAGGTAATGATTTCAAGGACCCTGAAGTGCCGACTTCCTTCCATCACAGAAGGAAAACCAGTGTCTGTGGCCAGAATGCTGAGTTAAAACCTAGTTTTCCTTCGATAATTTAATCTCTATTCTGTTCAAAACAGCATTCATATTTTGCTGCCATTTGGAAATCAGCAAACGTTACCTTGATAGAACTAGATATTTAATAGAGATGATTTCATCAGAGTGTTTGGAGAAATGCATGGTAGATGTTAGATTATTAAATCACCTGAAAGAACATCTTTTAAATGTGTTCTTTTTATTATAAGTAGATGCTTTGTTACAACAAGTGACTTGTGTCCATGTATGTTACTTACCTGTGTGTGGCTGGGGCATATGTAAGATTGGTAAATCACAACAAGTGGGATCTATTTAAAAATATCTTACAGTTAGATCAGATTCCTGCCCTTGAATTAAAAATCATTTCCATATAACTTTGAAACCTTAGAATTATATTTTTAAAAATATTATATTATTTGTAAAGACTTTTTAACTATTTGGTAACCACTAGGTACTTCAGAAAGTTTCAGAGTTTGGAAATGAAAATTTTGTATAATAAATACATTAAAAATTTCAAAAATAAATAACTGACAGAATAGCATAGACTTGGCTCTGAACGGAGTTGTATCTCCCCCCAATTCCTATGTTAATTGTGTTTGGGGGGGGTCTATAAGGGGATAACAAGGTTAGACGAGGTCATATAAGAGCAGGTCCATAATCCTACAGCACCGGCAGCCTTATAAGAAAGAGATACCAAGAACGTGCATGCACGGTAAAATAGCCATGTGAGGACATAGTGAGAAGATAGCCATCTGCAAGCCAAGGAGAGAAGCCCCACCAGAAACCCACCCTGCCAGCATTATGATCATGAACTTCCAGCCTCCAGAACTGTGAGAAAATAGATTTCTGTTGTGTAAGCCTCTCCCCCTCTGGTGCTCTGTTACGGCAGCCGTAACAGAGTAATACAGGTATGTATATAAGGGGGTTGGAAAACAGGCCTATTTTATGTATTTACTTATTTATTTATTTACTCTTAAAGTAAACATTCTTACTGATCTGTAACAAAAATGCCCCCAAATGCACAAATCATAAGTGTTCAGTCTGATGAGATTTCACAGAGTAAGTCCCCATGTGACTATCACCCAGATCAAGAAATCAATATCGCCAGCACCTGAACGCCCCGTTTTGACCCTTCTCAACCATTATTCCCTTCTTCCTTACTAAAGCTAGCCCATTACTTCTTCTTTTTATACCATAAATTCCTGTGGCCTGTTTTTGGAGTTTTATATAAATAGAATCATTTATATCTGAATCCTTTCACTCAGCCTTATGATGGTTATATTCGTCTGTGTTGTGTGTTGCAATAAACGGTGAATCTTCTTTGCCGTATAGCACTCCACTGTTTAAATATAGCACAATTGCTTCTCTACTTTACTATTGCTAGACATTGGGTTATTTCCGGTTGGGGTTATTGAGAGTAAGGCCGCGTACGTGTTCTTGTGTCTACCTTTGGTATGTGCACGCGTGCATTTCAGTAGAGTGGGATGGCGGGCCATGTGAATGTATGTGTTTAATTTAAGTACACACTACAAGCCAGTTTTCCAGAGTGGTTGAGCCAGTCTGCACCCCCACAAGTAGTGGGGAACAGTGTCAACTGTTTCACGGCCTTGCCAACACTTCGTATCGTCATTGTTTTTCCTTTTAGTCTTTCTTGTGCCAGCGGTATGAATAGCCCTTTCCCTGATGACTAAGTCACAACTTACCCATGCTGGATTTTAGCCCTGTGGCTGTTTGATGAAAATTGTCTCCTAACCGTTTGTTGGAACATGTTGAAACATACTGGAATGCGGTAGAACGTGAACATGAAGATAAGTCTACAAATTAGAAGGCTGAGAGGTCTTCACCCATGGTTTTATTTTATTTTTCCAAACTTTTTGTGGTATGTTTTGTACCCATCATTTGTTCGTGGTGCTCTAACTAAAGTTATTTTGTAAGAAGAATCCTTAGTCTTAAGGAAAAGTTGCTTATAGATGGGTTTCTGCTTTAGGTCCTGAAGCAGGATAACAGGGACCATGAAAGAATTTCACAGTCATAGATAAAGATTCCAGGTTGTTAGTTCATCAGTTGACTCTAGGTTAACCAACTGAACAGTCTTCTGGTCCTTCACATCATCAGCCTGTTTGAGGTCAGTGATATTTCAGAGTCGGGATTGAAGGACGACTTCCTTCTTAAACTTAATTAGTTTCCCCCCGGACATCAGTTTTATGCAGGGGCTCTGGGAGAGGGGCGGAGCCCTGATCAGCATTGCAGCATGGCCACTGCCCATGGGTTGTTGGCGACATGTTTCATATATTGGTAGGCTTTTCCAGGTGCTGTGGGAACCGAGGTTGCTATGATTTCTACTCTATATAAGCTTGTTGTGAAGTGATGGCCGAGCTCACCTTATCTATCAAGCATTTCAAAGACAGAGCTTGTTCTTCCTCATATTTCCTAAAACCATTAGTTGGAGGGAAAGTTAATTGTGGTGTTTTTTAACTGTGGTCTTACTCCTTTATGCTGCAGTGGAAATGTTATACATATTTGCAATATATGTTCACAGTATACTGCACTTAAAATTTCCATAGTTCTCTTTGATGTATATTGTATTAGGAGACTTACTTAAAATGGTTTCTTTTCAAGAAGGAGGTGAGTGGTTAGGGGTCGCTGTGAAAGGACTAGAGTCTGAAGCCAGGCTGCTCAGTCTGAATTCCGGCTCTGCCATTTACT